AGATTACTTAAGTTTTAATTTTTTGGAAGCCGCCCAGAGTTGCTTGGGGACCCAGTCAGATGGGCAGCATATTATTATTATTATCATCATCATCATCTGAGTCCAGGGTTTATTGAGGAGTGGTTTTATCACTGCTTCCTTCAAGCAGGCCAGGACCACTCCTACTCGTAAAGGTGAAGGGACCCCTGACTGTTAGGTCCAGTCACGGAAAACTCTGGGGTTGCGGTGCTCATCTCGCTTTACTGGCCAAGGGAGCCGGTGTACAGCTTCCGGGTGATGTGGCCAGCATGGCTAAGCCGCTTCTGGTGAACCAGAGCAGCGCACGGAAACACCATTTACCTTCCTGCCGGAGCGGTACCTATTTATCTACTTGCACTTTGACGTGCTTTTGAACTGCTAGGTTGGCAGGAGCAGGGGAGCAACAGGAGCTCGCCCCGTCGCGGGGATTCGAACCGCCAACCTTCTGATCGGCAAGCCCTGGGCTCTGTGGCTTAGACCACAGCACCACCTGCATCCCACTACTCCCTCTCACAAGGAGGCATTAATCACCTCCCTGGCCCAGCCAGCTGTCACCTCCTTGCGAGTTTTTATAAGCCAAGAGAGACAAGGGTCCAGAGGCCAAGCGGTCACCCTGACTGATCCAAGCACTTTGTCTGCATCGCTGAGCCTTACCAGCTGAAACTCATCCAACACAATGGGACTAGACAGTGCTCTGGACGCCCCTTGAGAGTCATCTGCTGTATTAGCCCAGAAATGGAAACAAGAGGAAATTCCGACGAAAGAAGAATGGCAGACAAAATTAATGGACTATGCAGAATTGGACAAAATGACAGGAAGGATTCGAAACCTGCGGGACCAGAGATTTACAGAAGATTGGAAGAAGTATACAAATTATTTGAAGAACAACTGTAATCAACAAATTACGCTAGTAGGACTACAAGAAGTTTTGTAAGGAGAAATATACGAAGTGTTACAAAGTAGAAAAAGATACGAGATATTGGTTATGAGTTTGAAATGCAATAGGGAAGATAAGAAATGCAGCCCGAGAGATTAGATTGGAAAATTTTCAGACAGGATTGACGGAAGTCAAAAATTTGAATAAGATGTAAAAGTATGTTTAATTACTGTTGAAAATGATATGTTAAAAAAAAACTAATAAAAATTATATTAAAAAAAAGAGAGAGTCATCTGCTGTAGCAGCAGAGTCAATTTCTTTTTTAAAAACCAAAACCAGATTTGGGAGAGGGAAATAAGAAGTGTGGGAGCCATGTGTATGTGCACAGTTTTTTTAAGAGCAACAAATATATATACATTAGGAGAATGCTACCCACATCTATGTGTGACATCTAGTTTGGCTCCAAACAGTGCTGAGAGTGTTGGACCAATTTCATCTGAAAGCCGGCAATTTTATTTATAACATTTAGACGCTTGTGTATTTGTTCCAACATTGCATTCATTGTGGGCTGCTTATAAATGAGGAGAAAATTAATGAAACAAGATCTGAATTGAAAACAGGCTCCCCAATTATTTCAACTTCCCTCAGTTTGAGAAATCCACACAGCTTCCAAAAAATAATAATGAAAATTATCCCAACTTCATCAGACATTTAAAGGAACGCTCGCTCGCTCAATAGTGTGCAAAAAGTGATATCACCCCAAAGCCCTAATACATTTTGATTCTATTTGGGTTCATGGGACATTTGCTGCTCATCTGTGTGCCTGGGGTGAACTCTCCAAAAAGAATCTAGTGCTCCTCTCCCCTTTCCTTATGAACCACAACAGTGATATAATTTCTTTGTCTCTCCTTAATCAAGTTAAGTGGTTCTGAAGTTGTTTAATAAAAAGTGGGTATCAGCTTATCACAGGATGTTGTTTTTCCATCACTGTAATGATTATGTTTTCAATGTGCTTTTATTACATTCACTTGTTACTGCAAAATTCCACGTTGTTAATACTTGTAGAGGAGCATGTTCCACATGCAAGGAATTCATGCCATTAACCCCCCCCCTAATGTTTATTAAGTTTCATATAAAAACATAACTTTAACATAACCGAAAAAGAAAAAACAATAATGAGAAAAAAGAAAAGAAAAACCAAAGAAGTAAAATATTTCCAACCCCACATGATACCACCACATACATAGATACAATAAAGCTTAATTAGTTATAATCCAACTTCATAAACATATTACTTGACTTCCTCTAATCTCTTCCATCTGAATTTCTTTGTAATTGAATGTAGCAGTTTCCAATATCATTATTTCATATAACAATAATCCTGTCATAATCATATTTCCTAATTTTCCTTATGGTATTGTTTCTTATTTATTTATTTAATCCTGATTTAATCCTCAGCCTAATTAATTCTTTCGAGTAGTTACAAATCTTTAATATTACAATATTTATTCAAATAGTCTTTAAATTTCTTCCATTCTTCTTGATATTCCTCTTCTTTCTGGTCGTGGATTCTCCCGGTGAGATCAGCCAGCTCCATAAAGTCCAACATCTTCATCTGCCATTCTTCTAGCGCTGGTAATTCTTGTGTTTTCCATTTTTTGGCTAACAAAATCAGTGCTGCAGTTGTGGCATGCAAAAATACTTTTACATCTTTTTTGGACAATTCAGTACCTGTAATTCCAAGGAGAAAGGCCTCTGGTTTCTTCACAAATGTATATTTCATCATTTTTAAAAAATCATTATAATTTTTCCCCCAGAAGTCTTTTATCTTGGGACAAGTCCACCACATATGATAGAAGGTAGCTTCCTTTTCTTTACATTTAGTGTGAAGAAGTTTAGAGGGCCATGACCCTCTAAACCTCTTGGATTTCGAAAGTTTTAGGAAGGCTTCCCATTTCCATCTGTTTAGTGCAGCCAATCGGAATTAGTACCCCAGCATTCAATTCAGGCGCTTCTCTTTAACTTGGAGTATGCCTCAAGTTCAGTCTTGCCCTCTCCTCTCATTCCCAAAGGATTTCTAGGGAGGGAGGGGCCAATTTTCATTTCTGACTATCCATCATGGATGCTGAGCATAAGTAAGGAATAGCATCAAGGACAACAGCTGAATCTCTTGATTGTAGGGTAACCAGCCTCATATAACCATCATGCTTGAGTCTCTTTGGTGCATGAAAGGGTTAAAACCATAGAGCAAGCTGTCCTGCCAGGCTTAGCCTATGTTACTTCCCCTCAGCTTGGGAGGAAATGAGTAACCAAGTCTTTGTTATCTCACTCTCATTGCATACAGTCAGTATAGAAGGAGATCTGAGCTGGTCGTTCCAGCACATGACTTTAAGTAGCATCTTTTGTTTCATACCAGAACACAGTCTGAAACTAGTATTTTCTCTACCAGTAGTATAGATTTTTTAAAAACCTTTTGTAACTAAGCAATGTTCTTAACCATATGTGCATTTTTTCCCTAACTGCTGTATGGAAAAGCACATGAATCCAACCTTTGAAGAGTTTTGTAAGTAAATTATTTTGCGACTTTCCAAATGTGTGGTCCATCTCTGTGCTAGGGATGTGGGAAGGCTTGAAAAGAACTTAAAAGGAACATTTGGGGCCAGGCTGGAAAGGCACATTTTAAAGGTTTCACAGCCTGTGCTTCCACAAGTTTATTTGCTGCATGTTTTGCAATGTTAAATCTCTGCCAGGATTCTTTCACCCAAGAGTACATGATTCCAACACTGATAAAAATGTTGAGAAACTAGAATGATCAAAGAATAAACAATGGGTACAAGCAAATCACTGACAATACTGTAGCAGCTGCCAGATTTTACTACATGAACTCAGAGAATATAAGCAGGGAGTTTTTGAATGGTTTTGAAGAGAGGTTACTGAGAGAGCAGTCATTGTACTCTAGCGACTGGTGGGAGCTTAAAAATAGATCGGTGCTCTGGGAGTGCAATCTGGGTCACAGCAGGGTAGGAAATTCTTCCCCATGTGGTGGGATTATTTAGGGCACGAAAGGGTTAAAACCAAAGAGTAAGCTGTCATGCCAGGCTTATCCTATATCTTGCTCTCTTATTTTGTTTTGTTTTGCTTATTAAACAAATTTACTGCTTCTCTGCATAATGTCATCTAATAATACTAATACTAATATTAATACTATTACTACTACTACTACTACTACTACTACTACTACTAATTTATTAGTTGTACCCCACCCATCTGGCTGGGTTTCCCCAGCCACTCTGGGCGGCTTCCACAAATACCCAAAATACACTAATATGTCATACATTAAAAACTTCCCCGAACAGGGCTGCCTTCAGATGTCTTCTGAATGTCAGGTAGTTGTTTATCTCTTTGACATCTGATGGGAGGGTGTTCCACAGGGCGGGCGCCACTACCGAGAAGGCCCTCTGCCGGGTTCCCTGTAGCTTTGCTTCTCGCAATGAGGGAACTGCCAGAAGGCCCTTGGCGCTGGACCTCAGTGTCCGGGCAGAACGATGGAGGTGGAGACACTCCTTCAGGTATACTGGGCCGAGGCCGTTTAGGGCTTTAAAGGTCAACACCAACACTTGGAAACGTACTGGGAGCCAATGTAGGTCTTTCAGGACCGGTGTTATATGGTCTCGGCGGCCACTCCCAGTCACCAGTCTAGCTGCCGCGTTCTGGATTAGTTGTAGTTTCCGGGTCACCTTCAAAGGTAGCCCCACATAGAGCGCATTGCAGTAGTCCAAGCAGGAGATAACTAGAGCATGCACCACTCTGGTGAGACAGTCCGCGGGCAGGTAGGGTCTCAGCCTGAGGACCAGATGGAGCTGGCAGACAGCTGCCCTGGACACAGAATTAACCTGCGCCTCCATGGACAGCTGTGAGTCCAAAATGACTCCCAGGCTGCGCACCTGGTCCTTTAGGGTGATGAACAGGGAGAAAACCGAATAAAAGACAGAAACCCAAGCTCTAAGAAGAATAGCATCAATTCAATGGGTTCTAAAACAATTAAACCACCCACACAGATTCTAAAAGCAATGAAAGCATTTCACCAAATATAAAATTGACTTTCCATAAATGATTGGGTTGCGCTTCAGGGAAAGCCTTCCTGAACAAAAATGTATTTGGTAGACACCTAAACATAATCTTGCCAGGCACTTGTCTGACTTTGTCTGCTTGTTGATTCCAGAGAGCTTCAGCTGCAGCACCAAAAGCTCAATTTCTGGCACAGTGGTACCTTGGTTCTCAAACGCCTTGGTACTCAAATGCCTTGGTTCTCAAATGCCGAAAACCCGGAAGTAAGTGTTCTGGTTTTTGAGCGTTTTTCGGAAGCCGAACGTCCGATGCGGTTGTCGGCTATTGTTTCTGGGGCACCTGCACCAATCAGAAGTGCCACCTTAGCTTTTGAACATTTCGGAAGTCAAACGGTCTTCCAGAATGGATTAAGTTTGGCGTTTTTGTTGCTTTTTCGGTTAATTTGTTTTTGTGACTGTGTGGAACCCAGTTCAGCTACTGATTGCTTGCGTGACTGTGGAAATAGATAAAAGCTATTTATTATAATGACTACCATCAGTGCAGGTAGGGAAAAAAATTGTTTTATTTTTCATCATCTACAATATTATCTGATTTATTTTACAGTACAGTGCATTGATTATTGCTCTCATTTTATGGATCCATGGTCTCGCTAGATAGTAAAATCCATGTTAAATTGGATCCATGTTTTGGGGGTTGTTTTTAAAAGTCTGGAACAGATAAATCCATTTTGCATTACTTTCAATGGGAAAGCGCGCCTTGGTTTTGGAACGCTTTGGTTTTGGAACAGACTTCTGGAACGGATTAAGTTTGAGAACCAAGGTGCCGCTGTACAAGCTAAGGGCACCTCTAGCTTTCCTCCACACAACCAGTCTTGGAGACGTAAACATACTGGGTCAGAGAAGCTGAAATTCTCAAAGGCAGTGTCCTGGTCCCTTGGGTTCCCCGAGAGGTGAGGTCCAAGTCCGGTCCATGGTCAAAGGTGCAACATGGAGGCAGTCCGTAGTAGCTGAAGCTGGGTGCAGGACAGTCGGGTGAAGTCAGGAATGGGTCAGGAGCTCTGGCAGAAAAGCAGGACAGGGTTCAGGCAGGAACTAGCAACCATCAGTATTGTTCCTGCAACTTGGGACTGGGGCTGGCCAGCTTTTATCTGCCCCGAGACATAGGGCGGCCCTGATCCTCTGGTGACTCGCCTCTCCTGGTCTGGAGGCGAGCACTCCTTCTGTGGGAACTTAGTTCCCTCCGCCTCTCTGCCCTGAGGCTCTGAAGCTCAGGAGAGGCTGGAGGGTTACCGGACCCAGAGGCAACCTCAGCTTCCTCTGATGGGGCTGAGAGTGGAGCACCTGCAGGCAATCACCTCAGGAGCCAGAGCAGACTCAGCTGGTGCCTGCACCTGAGGATCCAGCACAGGTAGATACTGGAGGCAGGGAATCCTGTGCAGGCTGGGATCCCTCAGGTTCAGCATCCGAGTCCGAATCCCAGGCCATCACAGGCAGGTTCAGCCTACATTGGTGTTGTTATCCACATTCTCCCATATCAGTGAATGGTGACCATTTCTTCCATGAGGATAATAAAGCGCTGCAATAGATGACCCAACAGTAGAGATAATAACAGCAGCAGCAGCAACAACAACAACAGCAACAGCAACAATTTATATGCTGCCCATCTGACAATGTTAACCAGCCACTCTGGACAGCTTCCAACAAATAAAAACACAATGCAGTCAAACCTTGGTTGTCGAACATACCGTATTTTTCGCTCTATAGGATGCACTTTTTCCCCTCCAAAAATTAAGGGGAAATGTGTGTGCGTCCTATGGAGCGAATGCAGGCTCCTTGGCTTCAGCAATAGCAACGCAAAGCCTCTGAAGGGGTCGGTGCGCAGAGGGGTGCGCACCGACCCCTCTTGCTCTCCCGGCTTCAGCAAAAGGAACCCGAAGCCTGAGGAGCGCAGTGGGAACTTGCGCTGTGCTCGGAAGGCTTCAGGGATAGCCGCACGTAGCCCCTCCGGCAGGGAGAGTTGCGCGGGGCTAAAGAGGAAGCCAAAACAGTGAATGGGATCCATCCCGCTCGCTGTCTTGGCTTGTGCCATAGCCGCGCGCAACCCCTCCGGCAGGGAGAGGTTGCGCACAGCCTGTACGCTGCTCTTTAGGGCTGGGGGGAGAAATTAGATTTTTTTTCTTGATTTCCCCCTCTAAAAACTAGGTGCGCCCTATGGTCCGGTGTGCCTTATGGAGCGAAAAATACGGTAATCCATTCTGGAAGGCCGTTTGACTTCCAAAACCTTCGACAACCGAGGCACGGCTTCCAATTGGTTACAAGAGCTTCTTGCACACAAGCAGAAGCTGTGTCGGACATTTGGGTTCTCAAAAGCGTTCAAAAACCAGAGCATTTACTTCCGGGTTTTCGGCTTTTGAGAGCCAAAACATTTGAAAACGGAGGCATTCTGGAACCAAGCTTTGAGTGTACCACCCAAAAGTTGGGTGGTCCCACATTACGTAGAGACTTTTGCCTTCTCAGCTGTATATGAGAAGAAGACAGGGAGGGGCTAGTCTCTGCACCCCTGCGGCAGCCCCATCCTGCGTTAATTTAAACACTTAAGTAGAATGTCTGAATAAGGCTCCTGTTATCAGTTTTAAGTCTGCTGCTTAAAGCACAGAAGTGTTATTTTCTCAATTTCGTAGATGAGGAAAGGGAAATATTTTCAACAGAGTGCGCACTCCAAGCCCACCCAGAAAGTGTGGCAAGCCCTCAAATGAAATCCCCCTGGCTCCGAGACAATCTTCCTCCCCATCTTCCCTCTTAGAACAAGACTTTCCTTTCCTGTGAAGCTGTCGCAGAGCAGGCTGGCATCAACAGAGTCGGTCGAGGCAAACCTTCACGAAGCCTCAGGAATGCTCTCGGCACCGTTTTCAAGCCGTCAGGGGGCCAGTCAGCTGTCTCAGAAGAAAACGCTTCCAGGAAAAATAGGACAGGAAGATTAAGTCGTGAGCAGCGCAGTTTTGGCGCATGTGCTTCCGTCTTCCCTTTTCTGCATTGCAATCCTGTGTCTTGAATCAGAGCACTTTCCTGTATTCTGTATTTTTTGCTCTATAAGACTCACCTTTTCCTTCCTAAAAAGTAAGGGGAAATGTGTGTGCGTCTTATGGAGCGAATGCAGGCTGCGCAGCTATCCCAGAAGCCAGAACAGCAAGAGGGATTGCTGCTTTCACTATGCAGCAATCCCTCTTGCTGTTCTGGCTTCTGAGATTCAGAATATTTTTTTTCTTGTTTTTCTCCTCCAAAAACTAGGTGCGTCTTGTGGTCTGGTGTGTCTTATAGAGCGAAAAATACGGTAAGTGGAAAGCAGAATACCCTCATACCCCTCAACATTTCTCTGATAGAAATAGGGATGGCCTATTCTGTAATAATAATAATAATAATAATAATAATAATAATAATATTTATACCAACCCCATCTGATTGGGTTATCCAAGCCATTCTGGGAGGCTTCCAACATCAATAAAAACATAACAAAACATTTAAAAAAAACCTCTTTCCTATACAGGGCTACCTTCAGATGTCTTCTAAAGTTTGTATGGTTACTTATCGCCTTGGCTCAGGGGTCACATACCGTATTTTTCGCTCTATAGGGCGCACCAGACCATAGGGCGCACCTAGTTTTTTTGGGGGGAAATAATAAATTTTGGGCTTCTTCTCTAGCCACACACAACCTCTCCAGCCGGGAGAGGCTGCGTGTGGCTTTGGCAGAAGCCAAGACAGCGAGCAGGATGGATACCGCTCACTGTCTTGGCTTCCTTTTTAGCCACAGGGCTGGGTCGGGCGAAGCCTGAGCTTCCCCCGACCCCAGCCCCCAGAATGGGTCCAGGAGCGGGGGCGAGGTTGCACGCAACCTCGCCTTCGCTGCCGGAGCTTGCTGCTATCCGCAAGCCTTCGGAGCCCTTGGACTACGAAGGCTTGCGGATAGCTGCCCAAAGCCCGGGGGGCGCAAGGCTGCGCACCCCGGGCTCCGGGCTGCAGGCTGCTATCCGCAAGCCTTCGGAGCCCGGTGGGCATTCCCACTGCGCTCCGAAGGCTTGTGGATAGCTTCCTGAAGCCTGGAGAGTGAGAGGGGTGCACACCGATCGCTCTCCAGGCTTCGGCGAAAGCCTGCATTCGCTCCATAGGATGCACACACATTTCCCCTTCATTTTTGGAGGGGAAAAAGTGTGTCCTATAGAGCGAAAAATATGGTAGCTCCATACCTTCCTACATTTCTCCGATGAAAATAGGTATGTCCTAAGGAAAAGCAGGACATTCCGGGATCAAATCAGAAACTGGGACGGCTTTTGTAAATCTGGGACTGTCCCTGAAAAAATAGGGGCCATCTGCATTCTTTTTAGGCGTGCAGTATTCTTCCAACATGTCAATAAATATTTTGTTTCATAGTCTCTCCTTCAGCAAGCCCAAAGTTATTATAAATGTCTCCCACCACATGAAGAGAGAAAATGAGGATTTGATCTTATCATGTTTTGCTTCAGCACCTCTTGCAGCCGAAGCCTTTGGCTAAACTTCACCCTGTTTTCTACAGTATCCCCTGACAATTGCAGCTTTGATGGGGGCTGTAGCACTTCCAATTTTGCAAAGATTTAACGGCACTTATGTAGGCCTTGGGACGCGGGTGGCGCTGTGGGTTAAACCACAGAGCCTAGGACTTGCCGATCAGAAGGTCGGCGGTTCGAATCCCCGTGATGGGGTGAGCTCCCGTTGCTCGGTCCCTGCTCCTGCCAACCTAGCAGTTCGAAAGCACGTCAGTGTGCAAGTAGATAAATAGGTGCCGCTCCAGCGGGAAGGTAAACGGCGTTTCCGTGTGCTGCTCTGGTTCGCCAGAAGCGGCTTAGTCATGCTGGCCACATGACCTGGAAGCTGTACGCCGGCTCCCTCGGCCAATAAAGCAAGATGAGCGCCGCAACCCCAGTTGGCCACGACTGGACCTAATGGTCAGGGGTCCCTTTACCTTTACCTATGTAGGCCTTATTGCTTTCTCTGGCTCTTACAGCTGCTTATCTTCTGCTTGTAGGCTTTCAGCCAGAAAACCTCTGCCAGTTAATGCCAGATACTCCTCATTCTCCACTTCTGACACCATGTAACATTCCCAAGGATGAGGAGTTTTATAAAAGAAGTTCTAAGGCCCTCTGCGAGAACTGAATCTCAAGGCCTAACAAAAACAAAACAGTTTGACTTCCTCCTATTCCCTTCCTCAATGTACTACATGTCTATTGTAAAGTTCTAACCATTTGAATTACTTATCGTCCATTCATAATAAAATTACAAGTATTCTTAAAACCCTGCCAGAGTATTGACCTGTGTACATTGCTTCTGTATATATACGATAAAGTCCTTCTATTCTTCCTTAATGGGATGTAGGTGGCGCTATGGGTTAAACCACAGAGCCTAGGACTTGCCGATCAGAAGGTCGGCGGTTCAAATCCCCGCGACAGGGTGAGCTCCCGTTGTTTGGTCCCTGCTTCTGCCAACCTAGCAGTTCAAAAGCACGTCAAAGTGCAAGTAGATAAGTAGGTACCGCTCCGGCAGGAAGGTAAACGGCATTTCCGTGTGCTGCTCTGGTTCGCCGGAAGCGGCTTAGTCATGCTGGCCACATGACCCAGAAGCTGTACACCGGCTCCCTCGGCCAGTAAAGCGAGATGAGCGCCGCAACCCCAGAGTCGTCTGTGACTGGACCTAATGGTCAGGGGTCCCTTTACCTTTACCTTATTCTTCCTTAAATTCGTTGTTGTCTCTTCCTCTTAATTTCATTGTCAATTTTGCCATTTCAGCATATTCCGTTAATTTGACTTGTCAATCTTCTTTAGCTGGGACACTTTCTTCTTTCCAGTGTTGTGCTAATAATGTTTGTGCAGCCATGGTTGCGTACATAAATAAGTTCTTTTGTGATTTTGGTAAATCCATTCCTGTGATACCTAATAGGAAAGCTTCTGGTTTTTTAACAAAGGTTATTTTTAACATCTTCTTCATTTCATTATAAATCATTTCCCAATAGTTCTTGACTATTTTGCAATCCTACCACATATGAAAAAAAACATATTGTTTTACCTTTCCAACACTTATTTTCTTTAGTTTTGTACATTTTTGCTAATTTAACCAGAGTTAGATACCATCTACCCATCATTTTCATATGGTTTTCTTTAATCACCGCACATGCTGTAAATTTTATCTCTTTCTTCCATAGTTTTTCCCATTCCTCCATCTGAATATTGTGTCCCACAACTTGTGTGAAACTCAATGCCTGGGAAACAGGAGATGGAAGGAAGATATATGAGAGCTGTCTTCAAGTAACTCTAGGGCTGTCACATGGATAGGTTCACCATACATCAGGAAATTCCTGACATTTCCTGGTTTTCGGGTGTAAAAAGGGCATTGGGGGGAATTTGCTGAATTGGCAGAATGTCAGGGGAGACCCGGGTGTATGTCAATGTGATGGAAAAAGCAGCAGAAGCAGCTCTGAAAGCCTAAATTCACTATTGGGGGGGAGGTTTCCCCCAAAAAGCTCAACAATTTCGGGATTGCTTTTCACTTTTTGAAATACGGCAACCCTACACATGGAAGATAGAGCAAGCTTATTTTCTCCTGCTCTGGAGGGTTGATAAAAAGGTAAAGGGACCCCTGACCATTAGGTCCAGTCATGGCCGACTCTGGTGTTGCGGCACTCATCTCGCTTTATTGGCCGAGGGAGCTTCTGGGTCATGTGGCCAGCATGACTAAGCCTCTTCTGGCAAACCAGAGCAGCGCATGGAAACGCCGTTTACCTTCCCGCTGGAGCGGTACCTATTTATCTACTTGCACTTTGATGTGCTTTCGAACTGCTAGGTTGGCAGGAGCAGGGACTGAGCAACGGGAGCTCACCCCTTTCTGGGGATTCGAACCGCGACCTTCTGATCGGCAAGTCCTAGGCTCTGTGGTTTAACCCACAGCGCCACCCGGAATCAATGGCTTTAAGTTACAAGAAAGGAAATTCCAACCAAATCTTGGGGAGACCTTTCTGACAGTAAGAGCTGTTCAACAGTGGAACGGACTCCCTAGGGAAGCTGTAGACTCCCCTTCCTTGGAGGTTTTTAAGAAGAGGTTGGATGGCCATCTGTCACGGATGCTTTAGTAGAGATTCCTGCATTTTAGAGGGTGGCCTAGACAACCCTTTCAGCCCTACAGTTCTATGATTCTAACTGCCTAAGCCAGTGATGTCCAAACTTGGCCCTCCAGCTATTTTTGGACTGCAACTCCCATCATCCCTAGCTCACAGGACCAGTGGTCAGAGATGATGGGAACTGTAGTCCCAAAACAGCTGGAGGGCCAAGTTTGGCCATCACTGGTCTAGGGCAAGTCCTCAAACTGCCACGTCCTTAAAATTAAGGGAGTGTCAACAAATGAGAAGCCCAATCGTCGTCATGCCCTTCTATTGTCACTAGTTTTGTGTCTGGTTTAGAACCACGTGGTGTTGTGGTTAAAAGGATGACCTGTGAGCCAAGATGTCCCTTTGCTCAAATCTGACCTAAGGTTAATCTTAGATAAGTCACTATCTCAAAGAAGGAGTCCCACATCAGTAACACATCAGTAACACTGGCCTGCTTTACAGGACTGGTTTTTGTTTTGTTTTGTTTTTGGAAGGTAATGTAGGAAATGGCTTTCCAGAGAATCTGAAAAATAAAAGTATTACAGTGGTACCTTGGGTTAAGTACTTAATTCGTTCCGGAGGTCCGTTCTTAACCTGAAACTGTTCTTAACCTGAAGCACCACTTTAGCTAATGGGGCCGCCGCGCCGCCGCCACGTGATTTCTGTTCTCATCCTGAAGCAATGTTCTTAACTCGAGATACTATTTCTGGGTTAGCGGAGTCTGTAACCTGAAGCGTATGTAACCTGAAGCGTATGTAAGCCGAGGTACCACTGTATAATAATGCC